TATTTATCTTTGATTAATTTATTTATTTTATTTATATTATGTATATTTTTTACTAAATCAAATTTGATTGACCCGAACACAAAAAAAACACAAAATAACCAAAAAAGAAAATCAAACATGCAAACAACTTAGCAAAATTAGGGTTCATCATGAATACATATTTTTTGCAGAAAGATGAACAAATTTATCAGGCAAATATATGATTTTTCATTCATTTCTCAAGAAAATACATATAACCTTAAACATTAAATAAAAAAAAAAAAAATCAACCAAAAGGCAACACAGCCACGGTAGAATTTTCTGGGAAAAATGGATCCAGATCTGATGGGAGGGATCCCACCCACGATACCAGGCTCCCATTGTCCCCTTCACCACAATTCCCAGAAAACTCCTCTGTTCAAAGATTTACCTAAACAGAAGCAGACACAGCAAATAAGCCCTCCGTCAACCTCCGGATACAAAAACCGAGCCCCCTTTCAACAGAAAGTTTTTCACCAGACTCACAAAAACAAAAAGACCTCTTGTTTCTAACCTAAAGCCGTCTATTTATACCCAAACCAAAACAAGCCCTAAAAACCCTAAAAATTCTACCAGGAACCTTCCAGAAACCACTCTCCGGGCCTTTTTGTGTCCACGGTTTTGGGCTCCTCCAATCACCAGAATTCGCAATGCATTTGGGCCTCTCTGATCTTGATCTTTTTTTACAAAAATCTGGAAATGCACTTGGGCCTTCATCCACGCCCAATTCACTCTGTCGTCACCCACCCGTGATCCGTAGCTAGCATAGATTGGCTCTGCAGATTTGTTTCAGTTGGATGACGATTGATATTTCGCCGAGTCGCCGGGGCTTCGCGTGCACATCACCTCCGTCACCAACCAATAGATCCGGCTTCATTTGCTCCTGTTCTGCCGTTCACTCGCCGGGATTGTGGGTGCTGGGCAACGGGAATGATTTTTTTGCGCGGCTGTCGGTAACCCAAACTTCCAGATCTGAAAATGGACTTCATCAATTTCAATTTTTTTTGTTCTGTTATGATCGGAGATGAAGATACTGGAGAAAGAAGGAGAAGCCGGAGATGGAGGTGATGGTCGATGATGAGGGTAAAAGGTGAAGGCTCGAGATGGGATTTGATGGTTTTGGAAGCCATGATCACCGGCGGTTCGAGGGAGGATTGCTGGCTGTTCTCGGCGGAAGAAGAAAATTCAGCAAGGGAGGAGGCCAGGAGTTTATGAGGAAGAAGAGGAAGAGGTTTTGGGGCATGGAGAAGCTTTACCGCCGGCCGTTTGAGGGGTGGCTGCCGGCTGATTTGGGGTGGCTGAGGACTTGCGTGAGGAAGAAAGGAGGAGCGGTGGAAGCCATTAACGCCGACAGCTTGGAACCGAAGAAGGAGCAGAGGATGGTCGGCGATGGCTGTTGTCTAAAAGGAAGAAGATTGGCTCGGGAGAGAGGGAGAGAGACTGAGGGTTGACCGAGAAATGGAAGCTCCGGGAGAGAAGGGAATTTTAATTCTCCTTTCTTTTTTGGGGGGAAGATTGGGTCTTTGGGTAGTTTGGGCTTTAGGCTTGGGTTTTGGGTTTGATTTTGGGTTGTGGGTTTTGGGTTTTAGTGAGTTTTGGGTTTAATTTTGGGTTTTGAATAATTGTGGATTTTTGGATTTTGGGTTTTGGGTTTTGGTTTTTAACTTTGCATTTCACCCCTCTAACTTTCCATTTCTTCAATTAAGTCCCTCATTTTAAACTCCTTCATCTCCCTTTTCCAATCCTCTTTTGTTCGTAAGCCTAACAAGGAAAATAAAGACAAAACATATTAGTTAAAATAAAAATAAGACTAAAAATAACAATAAAATTAAAATTCTATTAAAATTTTGAGTTATGACATAACCAACTAGAGGTGTGAGTTTGACAACGCCAGTAGGCCTTGTACTGTCACGCCCCAAAACCCGAATTCGAGACGCGACAGACGTCGTGTACTCATGAGACGGGTCTCACAAATGCATAAAGCTCGGAACTTATCAAATTCACAACTGATACCACCAAAATCTGAAGATCAAATCTCTTATAACTAACAATCCATTTAATGAATTTATAAAATCTCCAATTAAATCTCCAAATACAAGATGATAATTTATTTCTAAAATCTATGTTCAATCTCAAAATGGCTAGCCTTCTAACTCATCACTTCCCATGGTTTCCCCGTCCTCGGTTTCACTTCTTGAAATGGTGGACAATGAAAAACTATGAGATAAACTCAGTAAGTAAAATATGGAGTGCCCCTTATCAAACTTAAAGCATGCCAACAAGTACAATCACGAAAAACGGATACAGTACGGGAACAAAATAGACATCTCCTCTATAGGTCACGGCCAGTGTTATAAACCTCCCACTGGCAGGCACACGATTTGCTGGTGTATAATCCCCACTAGCAGGGTCACTGAAATACCAGTGTTTAACAACTCCCACTGGCAGGAGGAACCGACTCTACAGAAATACATGTCGACATGTGCTAGCGTTTATAAACTCCCCCACTAGCAGGGTCACTAATAACATGACCACATTGGAGACAAAACAGGCTGAAGTTAACAGAACAATCATAATTCACCTATCACTTTCAAATCATCAGTACAATCAATTAAATTTCAAGTAGGCATGCTCAATTTAATGAAAAGCATAAAAATTCCACTTCAAATCAGTTATGCTTGTGTAAAACGGGTTTAATCCCACCACCACTTCAAAAACAAATCAAAACATGCTTTCAAAAACTGTACGGGCATTACCATAGATTTACTTACGTCACTCGCATAAAACCGAGCACTCACTTCACGTACTAACTGATAGAATGATAGAGAACCTAATCAAAATATTCCAACAATTAATTACCGTACTATCATGAATTCAACTGAAATCATCATGACTAATCCCTAATCATGATGCTATTCTTATCAATTTCCACATGATCAAATATCTCCAAATTCGTTCTTATATCACAAACTAATCATTTAAATCCCTGTTAATTACTGACCCTCGGTGTGTGAACAGTGTCGTGAACAGTACCCACGGCGTGAACAGTGACTCCCACTTCCAAAAATTGGCCAAAACACTAGCTAATTCACAGGATTTTCTCCAAAAATCACGCAGCCATAATCAAGCTAATTTCTCTACCTAAACCAAGCTTAAAACATGTTTTAGGCTAGCCAAAATTATTCCATAATTCCAGCCCGATCTCGGACAACACAAGCAACAATTTATGGACAAAATTCAGCAACCAATTAACGAGATTTCAAGCTTGGAGGAGCTGTCAACATACCATAATTCCAGCAAGCAAAACCGGAGCTGCAGGGGGAAGAAGAAGCCGGCGGCAAGTTGCAGGGAAACTCACGGACTAGCCAAAATTGGAGAACCAAAGTTAATCCAAGCTAAATCAAGCTAAAAGGATGAAATCATGGCTGTTCTTACCGGAAAAATGCCTAGAAATCACCCAAAATCAAGAGCAGCCGGCGGACAAAGGAGGAAGGACAGAGCAGATCCGGATTTCCTGCAGGGGGAAGGGGAATTCTAAGCTTTAAACCTTGTGATTGAACAAGAAAGAAGGAGGAATTTCAAGCTTTTTTTCCAATTTTTTTCAAGCATGCAGGTCGGCAAGCT